CTAATTCGAATACAATATAATTTTCCACGCACTTAACTTATACATTTGTTGCTTATATCTAACGCAACCTAATATCTATGGGGGTAGGACTGGTTTGACTAGGGGTTTAAACTTATCGGGTGACAATATTGCATTGTACGGTCTAGGCGTTTCGTTAAACCCTGGGATATCCGTGATTACATAACGATTCTTATTAAGAACTTTCGCCACTTGGTACGGACCCTTATACTTAGGTTTAAGCTTTTTGCTTTCGCCAACTTTGGACTGTAAGTCTCGCACTAAGACATAATCGCCTACTTTGTACTGTGATGGGGTCTTATGAGTCTTATCATAGTACATCTTATTACACTTTTTAAGCCGTTCAGTCGCTTCAATCGCTATATCTTGCGCTTTTCGACGTTCCTGCGCTAAATCGTTATCTATCTTAGCTATCTCATCTAATAAACGTTTAACATCAATATCTGAATGACCGTGTTGGTCGTATCCTAAAAGCAATTTAGAAGGAGTAGAATTTATGGAAGAATTAACCGTGTTGTTAACTACATATTGAATCTTTAACAAATGAGCTTTCCACTCATATTGATCGTTTATTACTTTAGTTAGAGACGTTCTGAGAAATCTATTGGAACGTTCGGCTAAGCCATTTGCCCATGGTGAGGCTACTGCGACCTTCCTATGTTTAATATTTAATCTTTCGAGAAAAACAAGAAATTCTCGCGAAGTAAAGGCCGTGCCTCTATCCGAAACTATTTCTTTGGGATTTCCAAATACATTAAAAAGGAAAAGTAACTTTTCGCTGGTTTCTTTTGACGTTGTTGTCCGTGTGGGAAAATACCACGTGAATCGTGTAAAAGCATCGACTATTACCAATATATATTTAAAATTATCTGACGTAGTTGGTAATGGACCGTAATGATCTATATGTATAATTTCAAACGGTACCGAAGGAGCTGGTGTTAACTGCATTTCACCTTCTCGCGAACATGTCGTAGAATTAGCAATTAAACACGTCATACAATTGTCGATGTAATCCCTTATTCTTTTACGCATAGTAGGAAACCAATACGTCGCATGAATACCTTCAAAGGTTTTATCAAAACCGCAATGAGCCATGTCGTCATGATAAACTCTAATAATGGTGTTAATCATTACTTCGGGAACTACGAAACGAGGACGGTCTTCATCTTTCCGGTAGACCAATCCATCTATGAGCTCAAATTTATCAAATTTATCGTTACTTTGGTATTCCAAATCGTTAGCAATTTGTTTGAGTCTTTCGTCTTGCAACTGTTTGAATTCAAGTTCTCTTTCTAAAGTCATAAAGTTTACATAAGCTACTTGTCTACTCAAAGCATCCACATGAGGCATTCGTTTCCCTGGTCTGTGAACTACTTTAAACCGATAGTTTTGCAACTGTAAAACCCATCTCGCAATCCTCGGGTTCAAACTCGCTTTATTTACCGCATATACGACTGCGTTACAATCCGTAACAATCGTAAAATTCTTTCCGTAGAGAAATATATGAAACTTTTCAATCGCTCTCATTATTGCCAACATTTCGAGCTCGAAGCTATGGTAGTTCGATTCAGCTTTATTGGTAGCTTGACTAAAATACGCAATTGGCGTCCATTGGCCATCACTCTGTCTTTGAAACAATATGGCTGCTAATCCGTGCGAACTCGCATCCGTATGCAACTCTGTTTCAGCTTCGGGGTTATACAACCGTAATACCGGATATGACGTTAACTTTTGCTTGAGAGTATCAAAGGCTTTAATATGTGCTTCTTCAAAAATGAAATCAACCGATTTTTTAAGCAAGTTATACAACGGCTTTGCAATCAACGCGAAATCTTTGATAAACTTTCTAAAATAGTTTGCTAAACCTAGAAACCGTTGTAGTTCATGCACGTTCCGTGGATAAGCATAAGCTTTAATTGCTTCTGTATGCTTTTGACTAATAGATATACCTGCGGACGATATATCATAACCTAAGAATTCGATTCTTTTTCTAAGGAATTGACATTTCTCATAATTTAACTGGAAACCATGTTGCTTCAAAATCCAAAGCACTTCTTTTAGCGTTTCTAAATTATCTTCGACAGTTTTCGACGGAATAAAAATGTCATCAACGTATACAATCACTCTACGACGACGGATAAGATCCTCAAGTCTTATTTTTATCTGTTTCTGAAATTCAGCTGCTGATTCGCTCCAACCGAAAGGTAACACCGTTGACTCGTACTGACCATCGGGAGTCGCGAAAGCGAAATATTTGGTATCGTCAGGGTGTACTTTAACCTGATAGAAACTATCTTTTAAATCTAACGACGTAAAAACTTTATTATCCCTGATTTCTGCGATACAATCCTCGATCACGGGGAACGGAAACTTTTGCTTCCACATTCTAGCGTTTAACGGCCTAAAATCAACGCATAATCTTAACTTACCGTTTTTCTTTCGCACTAAAACGATACGGTCACAGTAAGGTGAGATACTCGGTTTAATAATACCGCGAGCTAGGAGATCATCGATAATCTCTCGGACTTGTCTCCTTTCTTCATACGCTAAACGACGCGGAGCATACGCGTATATCGACGGATCACGTAACTTAACTCTAAGGCTGACGTCCCATGGCGCGTATCGAGATACGCGCGTATCGGGCGTATCGACTCTGCGACCAATCACAGACGATCCGCCGTTTTTGATACGCTTAACAATCTTTTGAACATTGTTTGAGCGGATCGCACACTCACACAGTTCCATCGTAACGTACGTGTGGGTCGAGCCCTCCTTCTTGGGTTCAGGTGCCATATTGAGTGTAGAAAGTGCACTAGTGGCACTAGAGCAGTAGAGAAAGGAGAAGAAACGGAGTATTTACATACGAGGTGCGTGCAATTAGGAATTATTGCGATCTAATACACAACAGAATACTCAGGAGAATTTGGACAGTTTTCCGCAAAGCTGATCGTACGTATTCGATCGTACATATGCGTAGTCACGATGTTCCAATGAAATCCTGAGTGACACTGTTTTGTGTTTAGGTTAACCCGAATCGAAGGCCGACACAAGCAGGATTGTCAGATTCTCGAGGAAGGGCCGCGTGTTCATCGGACTGAGACACTATACGACCAACGCTATCCGGTCCGACGCATCTATGCCCATAGTACATGCGATTAAGGCGAAGAGACGCTCGGAATTGAAGACTTTACTTTTGCTGGCTGCCCCCGCTTGCTCTCTTTGTGATATTTCTCATAGGCGGTGTGAGCAACTTTGGCAGAGTTTGTCTAATGTCGACGGCGGGGCACAGAATCACGCAGTCCCTTAGGAAACAGGCGTACGCCGCTATCCTTCAACAGGAAACGGCAATGTTTGACAGAGAAAGTACGGGAGAACTAGTCGGGAGATTGAGCGGTACGTTTCACGCTTTTAATCAGATATAACGCATCATTAAGACATCGAAATCTATCATTTTGATTTCATTATCCTTTTTTTCCAGAAGATACACAACTTATTAGCTCCGCTGTCACGTCCAATGTATCAGATGATTTGCGCTCTGCTATTATGGCCATTACAGGAATGTCAATGATGTTTTATGTAGCCGTCGCTAGCTCTACTCGGCTTAGCTATAGTACCGCCTGTCGCGGTCGTTGCTGTCTTTTGGGGACGTATCTTGAAAAGAATCTCCAAGGATCTGCAAAGTAGTTTTGCAGTGGTCAATACGATGGCGGAGGAAAGAATTAGCAATATAAGAACTGTTAAGTCGTTCGCGCAAGAAAAACGCGAAATCGACAGATACAGCGCTAAACTACAAGACGTTCTCAAACTGTGTTACAAAGAGAGTCTGTATAGAGGAATGTTCTTCGGTATGACCGGTCTTTCCGGGAACGCTATTGCTCTTTCGGTCCTTTATAATGGAGTGTTCATGGTATCGAACTCCGACATAACAATTGGAAGCTTAAGCGCCTTTCTGTGTTGTACGCCGGTTACGTGGGCATATCTCTGAACGGATTGTCCAGGACGTATAGTGAGTTAAATAAGGCTTTAAGCGCAAATGTTCGTCTGTTCGAGTTAATCGATCGACAGCCGCTTATTCCCATTAAGGGCGGGCAAATTTTAGAGAAAGAATTATCGGGCAACGTGACGTTCCGAGATGTTTCCTTCGCGTATCCAACGCGAGAGAAGATGCTTGTGTTGAAAAGTTTTAATTTAAACGTAGAGAAATGTTCTGTAACGGCAATCGTTGGTTCCTCAGGTTCGGGTAAATATACCGTGGCGTCAGTTTTATTGAGATTGTACGATCCTACTGAAGGGTCAATACTCTTGGACAACCACGATCTCCGTCTACTCGATCCCATGTGGGTAAAGTCCCAAATTAGTATTGTATCCCAAGAGCCAATTCTCTTTAGCGGCTCGATAAGGGACAACATATTATACGGAATGGAATCCGCGACGGACGCCGATGTGGAAGAGGTCGCGAGACAAGCGCATGTGTTGCAGTTTGCTGAAAAAATGACTGACGGATTGGATACAATGGTCGGAGAAAGGGGCTTTGCCCTTAGACAACGTCTGGCGGACAACGTCAAAGAGTCGCCATTGCCAGGGCACTAATAAAGGTAAATCGTTGCTTAAATCGTGGTTATTAAAGTTACAACTCTTCTCATTAAAATGTGTTAAATTGTGTTAAAATGATGATCTAGTTCAATTATTAAATATTTTACATTGTTTTTAACGATCAATGTTAAACGACTAATGTTAAATTTCTAACAAATTGAAGTGCATGTGATCTTTATATCTTATTATAGATATTAAATTTTATTTATTTATATGCTATTTATATATAAAAATATTAATAAATTGATACTAAAAGTTAATTTTAATAATCTCAAAAGCAAATCTTTAATAAGAGAACCGAGAACCACTGCGCTCGTCGGACATCAGGTCCGATCGCCGAGCGTCGCGCAAAGCTCCCAGTCTCGCCCCCCCCCCCCCCCCTACCATTGAGTGCCATCGCCGAACGCAACGGTTCTCAGCCTGTGCGTCCGAGCCCTGTTAATATATTATGATGGACGACAAGGAGAATACAGGACCTGTGAGTATATTTCTAATAATACTATTTACGCTTTTTATATAATCTAGTAAATCGGGAGAATAAATCACAAAACATATAATTTTGAGGTTATTAGTATTGTTCACAAATCAATATAAACATTTTCTTTATTTTCATATATATATATAATTTCGTGTACTAATTCAGGGGCTCGATTCTTGAATTCATTTGCAAGAGAAACATATGTGACAGTTTTGCTCTTACAGAAACGTTGCAAGTTGATTGGTTAATTAAAAGCTTTGTGATAAATGATCTTTGCAACTTTTCTGTAAGAGCAACATTTGTGCAAATGAATTGAAGGATCAAGTTCCATGTGTTTAATATAAAATATTACGCTAATTATAATGTCAAATATATCATGGGTTTTACTTGAAACCTGACGGCTATGAAAATGAGTAGCTATCGGATTAAATATTAAATTTTTTTTTGCTTACAGCCTATACAGTGTGGATATTGTGGTTGGTTCATTGGGGCCTTACTGAACACAAGTTTATCGAGACATAAATGTTTCGAATTGTATAATGATGAGACACAATTGATACATATAGACGACAATAACAAAGTTACGATGAGTAAGTATAGCCTAATAACAAGTGCATTAATTACAATGTGTAACAGTTCTGTTATCGATACTAGAGTTTTATTATATATATACATTTTTTTTTAACAGTTGAAAAAGTTCAGTCATCAGTCAGTCATCAGTCAGTCATCAGTCAGTCTGTGACTGATTCAGAGGATTATAATGAATGCCTCATTGCTGCAGTCCAAGCAAGACCAGGATTATACGATCATCGAATTCCGGTGAAAGAAAGAACAAGTTTAAAAAAGAAAGCTTTATGGAAAGAAGTCCTTAATGTGTTGGGAGGTAAGTTTATTACTTATAATGTCATCCAATTAAAACTTCTAATTTAAATGTTCTGTATACCCACAACAAACAAAAATAAATTTAATTGAATTGACGAAATAGACACTTTTTTCTTTTCGGGTTACAATTTGCTCTTTTCTTTACATTTTTATTTTTTATTATTCGTACATAATAATTAACATTAAATGTAATGATCGAATAAACTCGGATACAAAATTATTTCTTGTTTTTTATTAAGAAGTGAAATAAATTAATAAAATATCGTGTGTAGTTATTATCTAAAGAAGTAAAGTTTTGTAATTTTCTTTAAATACAGAACAAGAAAACAATTTGGAACGGGTGCAAAAAAGGTGGAAGCAATTGCGCGATTGCTATACTAAAGCAAAACGTAGACAGTACATTCCAAGCGGATCAGCTGCAAGTTCAAATACCTCGAAAAAAGGTTTCGGTTTCTATGACCAGATGAAGTTTCTTGATGACGTTGTAGGGAAATCATCGTACGTATTGTATTATCTTTGTTTACCTGTTATATTTATTGTTTTGTAATATGTGGCAAATGATATAACGTAATGGACTTTTTGTTGTACAGGACTATCTCCAGCTTGCCGGATAAACGGGATAAAAATATTGATGATATAGATTCAGCAATTGACGAACCTCTACTGGTCATGCAACCTCAAACATTGAACACTTCTACTGTAATTGAACAGTCAGCGAGCGATGTTTTCCTATCGCCGAGTCAGCAGCAACCAAATGTTTCACTATCGCCGAGTCAGCAGCAACCAAATGTTTCACTATCGCCGAGTCAGCAGCAACCAAATGTTTCCCTATCGCCAAGTCAGCAGCAACCAAAAGCAAAAAGTTAGTTTTACTTATTTATGTAATAATTCCTGCTAAAATTGTCAGATAGTATAGTTCAGTAATAAATAAAAACATGATTGTAATTAAATGATTTTTGGGATATAAAAAAACTTTTATTAAACTACTATCTACATACTGACGTTAATGTTTTATTTACTGTTTTTTAGAATCAAAAAACTGTAATAATATCTCCGATGTAAAAGAGGTAATTTTATCAGCCCTGGAAAGCGACTCTAAGAGAAATCCAGACGCCGTCGATGGATTTTTTCTTCAAATAGGAGATAGAGTACGAGCCCTTCCAGCACGTGAGAGGGCTCAGTTTGAGATGCAAGTCCTAGCGCTACTATTTGAGTTTGAACAAAAATTTTCTCTTTTTTAGTCTTATTTTTTGTCAAGAAACATATTTATCGGGCGTTAAGCTCGGCACGTTGATAGCACATTTTCCGTTTTTCGTAGAAAGTCAATGAATTAATCCGAAAAAATATTTAGTTTTTTTCTTTTCTTCCTTCTTTTTTTTTAATTTAAAATCGTTATAAAGTTACCGAATTAAAGAGAAAGTGGACAATGAACACTCTGCAGCTTTGTGAACGCAATACGGAAATAAATTATTTTACATATTCGCAAATACGCGTTGGAATTACTTAAAAAATTAACGCAATTAAAATACTTTTTTTTATCCCACGGACAAATATATGCGTCAGAGGTACGATACGATTAATAAACCGTGACGATACACGTTGCGAAATCAAAATTAAATTGCATTTGGAAATAACCGAGGTGGCAATACGAATTCATAAAATTTAATGTTGCATAATATCGATTAATGAAAGTAATTTGGTTCATAAAGGTGTGAGTGAGATTGATTTCTTTCTCGGCGCTGTAAATGAACGCTCGTCCGCACTTTCTCTGTATATTTTGTGTTGTGATATTATTCGCTGTAAAACGTATTCTCAATCAGTGATATATATTGTAATGATTACTTGTAATAAAAATAAATCTGATTAACTGAGTTATTGTCACTGATTCACTCTTCGCAAATTTATTACTGCTATCTTATTTGTTACTATCTACATATTTGTTATTCTAGACTATACTGGCTTCTTTGTTAATTAAACGCCATATCAGGTATATAAGCATTAATTATAACACAATTTTGAATAAATATATTTAATACAACTCAATTTGTGCGCAGGCATAGAAAATAAGAGAAAATAATGACATTAAAAGTAATGTGATGCTAATATAAAAATCTAGAACAAAGTAGAAAATGAATTACAGTAGAAGATAAAAATATATTTTGAAATAACGTTGTTGAAAAAAAGGCTAACATAATACTAAGATAATATATTATTATAAATTTAATTAATAATTAATTGCGAAAACAAGTTTTAGACACGAGAGTATAAATGATTATACTCTTCGAATGGGGGGAAGAGGGCAAAGCTCAAAGATCACCGGCGTATTTGACTCGGAGTAGGGATAAAGATTCGACCCGCGATCCCCTCGGAACACGATTTGACTTCGGTCGCTACAACGCACAACGACGTATATATTTGCACCCCCGCAACTCCGTCACGGCGGTTGTTGCATAAACGTACATATTTATTTATCACCGCATAATCCCTGACTTTATTAAAAATCATTATTCATTGCCCTCTCCCACTGAAATGATAATGCACCAGTACCAATAAAAAAATTTGAATAAGCATTTTGAATTTCGATACCATTGTTCAATTGTCTGCCTCTAGTAACTGGCAACGAGCTAAATCCTTGAGAAATTAAATTGCGCTCTTCAGGTGTTAAACACACATATGTACTCTTGGAAAGTAATGTTTCCTCATTACTGATAATAAAGTTATGAAGTGCTACTGTTGCTTGCACAATTTTTCTCGCATTTGCAACACTTGCAATTATGGGTTTTCTATAAATTCTCCATCTTGCTGCTAGAATCCCGAAAGCGCTCTCTACAACACGTCTTGCTCGACTGAGCCTGTAATTAAAAACTTTCTTCCTGAGATCTAGCTTGCCACTTCGCGGATACGGTCTCATCATGTACGTTGTCAGTGGAAAAGCCTCATCCGCTAGCAACACATAAGGCAGTGGTGGTCCATCAATTTCGATAGGCTTCGTATTTGGCAGCTTGAATATACCTTCTTCGAAACGTTTTCCCATTTCACTATTTTTAAAAACTCCTCCATCACTATGTCTACCTTCCGCACCGATATCGACCATAGTAAATCGATATTTTGCATCGCTGATCGCTAACAGATTGATGCTGTGGTGTCCTTTGTAATTGAAATGCGTCGAGCCACTATTTGCCGGACCCTGTAAGACAAATTACATATATTGCAGCTTTTGTATCATAATTCATAATAAAAAAAACATCTTTTTATGTACCTGCAATGTAACGTGCTTTCCATCAATACATCCTATACAGTTTGGATAGTTCCAAAGTCGCTGAAATTCGTTGGCAATTTCCTGCCAATTCTCTGGACTGTCATCAGTAAAATATGTCTCCTTCAAAGCATTCCATATTGCCTCGCAGGTCTCTGATATTATCTTTGATGCAGTATTATGGCCAATTTGATAGGCATATGAGATCGATGCCATGCTGTCTCCTGATGCTAAATATCGAAGTGTAATTTGCAGACGTGTTTCAGGAGGAATTGGCTCTCGAACAACATATTGTTTCACAATCGATGGGCCGACTAATTTGAGTAGTTCTTGAAATAAGATGGGATCCATTCGGAAATAATTGACAAATTTTTGTTTGTCTGCAGTCTCCATTTCAATTACGAGATTATCACTCGCTCCTTGTAATAATCGCCGTTGTACGGTAAATATAGGACGCACCCAATATTGTCGTTCTTTTTTAGATTCTTCGTCTATCGCAATTACGTACAGTGCATACAATAACAATATTTTACGTCGCAATTCTTGTCGACGAAAACTACTGTAACTTCGTTTAAATTTATTTACAAAACAGAAAATGGCTAGTAGTATTGTTTCGGAATCCATTTTCTGCCGTACACCGATGTCACGCAAAAGTCACAACAATTCTTCGGCGAACGCAAGCGAGGTGATCCTCTTCGAGGAGACAAGAAGGGCGATCTGGATCTGAAACGTAAATCGACATGGTGACACACTGTTCTCGGAGTAACGTAGATGATTTGGATCTAGATTAAGCGGCGGCGAATACCTTGGCGATAACCTTGGCGATCTTGATCTCGACACTGCCGTACACCAATGTTACGCAAAAGTCACAAAAATTCTTCGGCCAACGCAAGCGAGGTGATCCTCTTCGAGGAGAAAACGAGGGCGATCTG